GATCAAGGTAGGGGAAGGCGCTGACTGACACCCCCCATACCCTGCGGCAGCTCGGCCTTCCACGCAACGACCACAACGACAGACGCCATCAGAGGTACGGCCCCGCCCCGGTAGGATGGCACACCAGGTAACATCAAACCCACTTATAAATACCCCCTGGCTCCTAACAGGAAAGGAGGACAATCTCACAAAAACACTCCACCCTGCTTCACTAACTTAATCGTTGGAGGGGCCGGGCCGAGCAACGGGCCCGACCTGTGTGTAGGTACTCGACCGCCACTTAATCCGCCCGACGCCCCGAGACTTTCCGGCCAGCGGCCTCCGTGGTAGCCACCGCAACCATCTAAGAGGAGCCACATCTGATCCCAGTCATTTGGAGCCCTGAACCGGTCGCGTCGACCCCGAGGTCACGGTTGAGAAAGTTACTTACCGTAACAATATGCATACATAATATGAGCATTTTACCAACTAAAATGTTGAAAATGATATTTCCTTATGATTTTCAATAAAAATATATCAAGAAGTTTCCAAGAAGAAACCAAAATCAAATCATTTTCATGACATAAAAAATGAAAACTCTTTCGTATCAAGGCAGAGGTCAAAAGGCTCTGATACCAAATGTAAGAAATCACTGAAACCAACTTATGTTTCTAAATCATTATAATAGAAACATAATAAAAACTGATGCGGAAACAAAATAGCGTACCTCCAGCCATTGTCGCCAAGAATTTCTGCAGATGTTTCTTCTTGAACTTTGGTACTTCTCGGCTCAAAACTCTCGCTTTAGATGGTGTAGGAAAGCCTTTCGCTTCAAAGAGATGATTAAGCCCAGGGACCAAAATTCTTATATATATATAGATGTTCTCCCATCAAGAACATTTATTATCACCAAATCCAAGAATTAATTCAAATTTGTAACGTTTGGACCATAATTAAGAACTTTAATGATATTAAATATTTAATTTAATAATAATGATTTCATACATAAAGAATAAAAAAATTGAAATCATTTAAATACATGATAATGAATTATGAATGATAATGAGAACAGTTATATTATTATTAAATTAAATATTTAATAAAAACGGTTACAGTCCATTCCCACGGTCAAGAGTGTGTAGTCAAGCTAGATTATGCATGTATCTTAGGAAAGGAAAGATTGGAGGACGCGTGATAGGGTGATCAGGGGAGCGTTAGGATGAGCATGACAACACAAAACCGCTTGACTCGCGTCGCCCCGCTGCGGCGCCCACAGTCACGCCCCGAAACCACAAACCTCCTCTTGTGTCACTTCCACAAAACCAGGAGTGTCAACAGCGAGCGAGAGAGAGAGAGAGGTGACTTTTCCTTATCTTTTACTTTCCTCTCTGTGACATTGGCTCCATCTGTAAGAGAGAGAGAGAGAGGGGGGGGAGGGGGTGGACAGAAAATGAGTTGTGCTGCTTTTTATCTCTTCTAACCGTCTCTCTCTCTCTCTCTCTCGCTCTGGAACTTTCCATCTTTTTGTGGCTGGGGGCGTTCCAGGTTCTATGCGGCGATACCGACGCAGGGGGTCGTGAGCCGAACGTGGATGCCACGCGCTGAGATGCCATTCACGCCGGATTTGGACCCGTTTCCACGCCTTGCATCCTGCGTCGCCACGTCTCTTCCTTTGTTTCCGGTGCGTGAGAGAGAGGCATCGGGTGCGGTGGTGGATTCCCAGCTCCAATGGACGCGGAGACGTAAGAGTGCGGAAAGCACGCGGACGGCAGCCCGCCGCTTTCTTTATTTTACGTGTAATGTGCACCGAACCTGCTTTCCTACTTTGGAAACCACTGGCCAAAACCCAATGCCTCTCCCTCCTATATATTCCTCCTTCTATGCCCTTCTCTCTCCTGCAGTCATATCAACCTCCCCTCCTCCCTCCCCATCTCTCCTTCAGCCGGTTGAGAGTGGTTCGATCACACTGCAGCTGCAGGGTAGCGGAAGATAGATAGCAGCATGAGGATGAGCTGTAACGGGTGCAGGGTGCTGCGCAAAGGGTGCAGCGATGACTGCAGCATCCGGCCATGCCTTGAGTGGATCAGGAACCCGGAGTCGCAGGCCAATGCCACCGTCTTCCTCGCCAAGTTCTACGGCCGCGCCGGCCTCATGAACCTCATCAACGCCGGCCCCGAACACCTCCGCCCTGGTAACCCACACACCCGCGTCCGACGCCTCGTCTTCTTGATAACGTCTTGTCTCCGTGCTGATTCGTCGTTGTGGTTCGTGCTTTGGAGCAGCTATATTCCGATCCCTACTCTACGAGGCGTGCGGGCGGATCGTGAACCCAATCTATGGTTCTGTCGGGCTGCTGTGGTCCGGCAGCTGGCAGCTCTGCCAGGCCGCTATGGAGTCGGTGCTCAAGGGTTCTCCCATCGTTCAAATCCCTTCCGAGGCCGCCGCGGCCACGCCGGTGCCGCCGCTCAAGGCCTACGACATTCGCCACGTCGCCAAGGACGCCGAGCTCCACAAGGTCAACAACAACCGGACACGGTTCAAGCGGCCCGGCGCCAAGCCGCACCCTTCGCCGACCGCACCGGTCGAGCCCGCCGAGCAGCCAGAGCCCGCTGGGGCCGACCTCAGCCACGAGTCGGCCGCCAGCCACGCGTCCCAGCCCAACGCTGGCGGCAGCGGCGGGGACGGTGACGGCAGGGAGAACGAGAGCGTGTTCTCGGCGGATGCAGCGTCGCACGTGAGCCAGGGCGAGCTGAGCCCGGCCGAGGAGGGCGAGGTGGGGTTGGAGCTCACCCTCGGGCTGGAGCCCTGGCTGAGGCCCGACCGCGCGATCCGGCCGGCGGGGGACTCTCGGTGCGACGTCAGCCGCTTGAATGCGGACACGTGCAAGGTCGACCTTTGCCTGCAGCTGCCTGTGGCGTAAAAAGGGAAGCTTTCAGCACCAGGATGAGACGGAGACAACGCGAATGAAAGTTTTGATGTTCTTGAGACGTCATTTAATGAACTAAACGTAATCAATCACAATTATCTACCGCCTTTCCTCTCTTTTCATCTGCTTCCTTCTTTGCTCCTTGTAGTGTAGTTTCCTCACTTTTACATAAGAAATCGAGTTCAGAATCTTGCGGTCTAACTGTTAAGGATTTTATCTGTTAGATTAGCTGATACTTTCAAAAATACGTTTGATAAGTTTTTGAATCTTAAACATTTGATAATTCGATAAGTAAATTTGAAATATTATCATCAGATTAATGATTCAGAAGGTACGAACTTTGATCCAACACTAACTTGCTTATTAACGCGTGTAAACAAATGATGAACAGATGACTCAATTTATGATCTTTCCAATTGGCATATTTATAATAAGAAAAAAAACGAAACATGCTATATAAGCGCGAGAGAGAGAGAAAGAGAGCGCGCAAGATTGTCCTTCGTGAATTGGGAGGAGTATGGGGAGTGGATAGATTTGGAAAAGGCTGGCATGGGGGGAGGGTGGATTAATTTGGAAGCAGCGGCGACCTAGGATTACCCTTCTATGGCTCATCAGAAAGGCGACTGGCGACATACGAGGAACGGTGGGGAAGACACAGCAGAACAACGGGCGACTGGATGACAACAAAAAGCTTGGAACTCGATACAGTATCATGCTATCATTACTGACCAGTGTGCGACCTGAAGACTTTAAAGAGGAGAGGCTCATAAAAAGGTTCACCGCTGTGTCAGGGATAAGGAGGAGACTGCAGTGGGGTGTGTGTGGATAAGGAAGAGAGCTTGCTGTAGCTAAGGACAAAAATGATGGTCTCAAGGCTCTTCGGGAACGGGACTCCTTTTTCTCCCCCCTCGAACCTCTTTCTGACGCCCATTTACCTTGGTGTGCTTCCGAACGGTGAATTCATCCACTGTTTGTTTGGACTGTTGTATTGGCAACTTCAATTGTTAGGGTTTCACGATGACTCTTCACATCCAATCCATCATTTGCTTGTTTCTGAACAACTCTATTGTTTTTCTAATAGCAAGTGGCAAATGATGTTGGTACCACTGGACTGCAAACCAAGGGGAGCAGTCAATGGAATGTCTCGTGATTTGGCCATCAGTTTCTGAAAGCAGCATGCTTGTTTGAAACCATCTCTGGCCAGAACACTGTTCCAGGAAAACCTGGGGAATGAGCAGTGCAAAGGAACATGGAAAAGCTAGCAGCCTCCACTTGTTGACACTGTAGGCGGCAGTGACTGCACCATTTATCGTTCATGGACAAGTTGCACCAAGGCAGCGCAGGTAGCAGAAATCTATGGCAATCTTGGTTCTGTATCCTATAAATCATTCTGCAAATTGTGATGAAACAATCAACCGACACCTTCGTTCCTTACAGAGCCAAAAATTCATGTGGTATATTGTCTAGATAATAGCAAATAACCAAGTGCTAAATGATCACATCTCCTGGTTTCCTGCATAGTTCCCATCTGTGCAAAGCATCTATTGAAGCAGTAGGTGTAAGTTGACAAAAAAATACTGTAGTAATATGTTGGTCTTATCTTCCAAACGTTCCTTCTTACAGTAGAAACTTGGGAAATGAGACTTTGCTCTCATTCCTTTCTTTCCCAACTTGTTTACACCAACTTGCAAAATTGCTATCAACTTACTTTTGATGCAGCTTTCGGTGGAATGTGAGATTCCTATTAGGCATTCCAAGAAAAATGAACTAAGAGATGATATATATACTAGCATTACTACAATACTTGTCCAAACATCAACATTACGAAGGACAAACACTGCAAATACTTGAATTTTCTTTACCAAGAAACAGAAGTATTATGTGAATTCCTAATTCGATTAGGATGTGACCTAAGACATGACTTGCACCCTGATAGGTTGAGGATAGGACTGAATGATTCTGGTAATATGATGAACTTGGCAACAGTAATAAACAGTATCTGAAGCAACTAAACAGAAACAGACAATCAAACAATGTTTTTGTTTTGATGCACTTGGCAAATTTAGTAACCTAGATTTGGTATCCTAGGATAATTATAATATTGATGTTTGAGTATATTAATGCTTCAGGTAGCATATGAATCCACAAGTCCAGATGTGTAGGATAAAAACTATGATATTGTGGATCCAACTTTTGCTTGCTTTGTTGCTTGTTAGATTATAATACTGACAACTTTATCTTTCCTTCCATATTACTGTATCAACCTTGTAGAACATTATAGAAGAAGTTTCTTAATCATGTTATTCCTCGCTTTAATTAATGGCGTGTGCCAGCCACATTTCATCTCTTTGTGATCTTTAGAAAACTTGGCTTATATATTATACAATCTTAACAAAATCAAGATCCAAAATTTGGGAGGGTAAAGTGATCATTCAACCTTCCTACACAACAGGCAAACTATGTTTGGGGGGTTCATCTACCTCTGCTAATGAATTAGCTTGCAACTTGTCTGTGATTGAGTACTCACCAAGAGTTTGTGCATAAAGAATGCCAAGTTGCCATCTCTCACCTACAAGCATTTAGCTCAGTCTCATTGTTTTATCTCCTTGAGGAGAATTTTCTTTTTCATTGACGTTCTTCCATGATGCAAGTTGGAAGTTCTTTACAGCCACCAACATGCTGCCCTACTTCTAGGTGCAGTGCACAAGGGCTTTGTTAGTTTCTCTAGGACATGGTCATGAGAGGTGCACATGAATTTAGGGTTTTTCGACACATATTGTAGCAACAAGTGGCAGATGAGATGCTTCGATGGCAAATAACCAATTGGCACTTGTCAGCCATGTCTGCAAAGTGCCAGCAAGGTATCGATGGGTCTTTTCAAGCGCGAAATATTACGAATCTAAACCTAATCCAATCTAACATGTTGATGTTTTGGAGGAGGAGCCATAGAAATGACCAATAATAGAAGTATTTTTCATTTTGATGCCTAGTTTGATCATGTACCTAACCCATAAATGTTAGAAGTGTTGTGGATATAGCTATGCTTGGGTAATGTCACTAGCAAGATTCTTTGAGGGAGATGAGTGATACAATGTACCACCAAATTTATTGGATCAAAAGATGCATAGGGGAACTTTATGCCAACTTGATATAGATTAATTTTTCCTACCTTAAGAAAGAAATATTGTGCTGACAAAGCAACATAAAAAATAGCAGGCAATTAGGTATTGTTCATCATAATTTTGATTGTAACATGTCTTTATATCTAGAAGATATAATAGCTTTGTCCGGCCAGTTCATCAATCATAAACTTAATTGGATTCGTTGAAGACTCAGATTCCCTACATCAGCACGGTGATAATTTAGCGAGTCATATATTACATAAGTAACAAGTTATGTATTCGACCACCACAAAGTCATTCAAAATCTATGTAAAACCTAAAATTGAACCTCCCACTTGATAAAAAACTGTTGGATTTCAATCACTATATTTTCAGGGGAGAAGTCCCCTAAGTCATCAGCATAGTCCCATTTGCATAAATTAATTGATAGAGATTGTATATCCATCTATATGTTCAATATTAATAGTGAATTATCCACGCTATATTTGTTCAGTGAAAATATCTCTTAAACCACAACAAAGATTGACATCATTGGTCGACTAATTAAAACAGTCAATGCTTACTAATATATTTATGTTCCACACTTGCTATTTAATTAAGTTTGATCTTTAATGGCACTAGTCCAAGATATAGATAACATTCAAATTATATTTCGAAAATAGAAATAATGATCCTTAAGATCCCTCAGAAGTTAGGATTTCCTATGTTGCATCACTGCCTCATTTCACAGGATAAAAAAAATCCTTCTAATATGAGATGACCATGGCACATTATGGTAGCCAAATCATATTGCCACATCATGTATCTTCTTCTTCTTCTTCTTCTACTATTCCTCTTCTCGTCTACCCTCTTCACATACCAAAGGGGACTCACAAGAAGGACATTCTTTATGACATTGAGGTCGTCATTATCATCATCAGGCAACAAAAGGGGTCGCCCATCTAGGTGACAATGACAATGGAGAGGAAAAAGAGGGTGAGTTTGCACTAGTCAAATCACCATGTATTGTGTGGTAAGGTAATCTAGAAATTATGTTATATAACACATGCAAATTACAACCTCAATCACATTGGCATTCTTATCCAAGGCCTGTTACGAAAAAAGAATTGGACAAAAGTTTTTATACAAGTAAAAGAAATTACTATTAAAACTATCAAATTGCTTTTGTTCCCACCAGTCCAATGGATTGTTTTTGGATAGTTCCTATACATCAATGCAAATGAGATGACATTCCAATATTATGTCTGTTTATGGAAGTTTAATAACTTCTAAAAGAAATATGACAACAGTTCTTGTATGTTATCCATCAAAAGATTCTTTGCCTAAAACTTAAGAGTCAATAAATGGATAATGAAGCCTAGCAATGTCAAACACATTTACATACTGAACAAGTTCAACATAAAAGAAAAGAAGTAATTACATCATTGATCTCTGTACTATATCAAGATATTCATCGAGTGTGTGTGTGTGTATAAATGATAATTGTTTATTCTATTTTGTCCCTATATTTTAATTTCTTGAAGCAATAGTCTATCAGTTGTTAAGTTTAACTGCATGGCTAACTCTAATGTTTGATCACATTAAAGTATATTCCATCTAAGTTTTTTTCTTTTGATATCTTTACCCTAAGTTACTTAGCTAAGTACTTATAATCAAACATATATTATAGTTATTTTCTTGTAATTATCTAGTGTTATGGAGATACCGATAGTGTTTGTCTTTTTCAAATCTCTTAAACTATAGGGACTTCAATTTTGTGAGAAATATCAATGGTATTTAATTTGTGTATACATATCCTAGTATAGTATTGTGGGAATTTCATAAGGATGTATGATCATATAAACATTAGATGAATACCATTTTGTAATCATCATAAGGACCTTATTAAAATATGTATATTGATCTTTAAGTAGGAAACATATCCTAATTAACGAAGTTGTGAAAACAATCCAAGGACGAATATTTCTTTTTTGCTTGAA